GGAGCGGCAGAGCCCGCTGCGGCCGTCTCGCCTGGCTCTCCGCTGCATCCCTCCCCTCCCGAAGGCTTCCAGTCCTTTCCGCAGTGAGGGACGGCAGCCGCCAGCAGCCAGAGCTCCCAAGCCACAGGAAACCTCTAATAAGAGGCTGTTTAAACTCGACGTCAAGGCTTAAGTCCTCTGCTTATTTCCTAATCATCGTTATTTGCTGAGCTGTGCGGATCCAGCCGCCCAGCCCTCACCCTGCCAGGTCCTCGTCCCCGAGAGCCTTTCACCCAGCTCCCGCCCAGCGGTGCAGAGCCTGGGAGCTCGCAGCCTCCACGTCCACAGGGCTGGGGATCGCTGCCCGCAGGCAGCCAGCCCCAGCAGCAGTGTGCCAGCGCACCAGGGGGTCTTGCTGGCCCAGGCGGGTGGGCAGGGGCCCCCTCTGTCAAACCCCACTGGGGAAGAGGAGGAGGCTGCCCATTCCCCCTGCACCCAGCCTGTGCCATCACGTTGCCTCTCCCAAGCTGTGCCAGGGCAGGCACAGTTTGGGGCAGCAAGCCCACCCCAGGGCAGGCAGCGGGCACCCCGGTCAGGCAGGGCTGCCTGCACCACATTGGCCAGCACACCTGTGGGGGACAGTACCTGGGAGGCAGCCGGGCTGGCTCGGGGGTCAAAGATCCGCAGTTTCTTGTCCTGTTGAGATAAAAAGAAAACAGAGGAGGGTTAAGGACCTTGGGACCAGTGAGATGTCAGGCTGTGTCAGGCAGAAGGCTGGAGCGAGCAGCCCTCGTCCTTCATGCCCAGCGCTCCTCCTGCCTGCCCCTATGGCACAGCGTCCTGCCCCACGTCACAGGCAGGGGCGCACCCCCAGGACCCCCACAGCCTCACCAGGACCCCGACACCCTCAAAACTGCTCGCAGAAAAGGGGGCAGCCCCCAAAGTAGAGCCAGGAATGGAGCCCAACCCTCGGATGCCATCCTGCCAGCGCTCCCCAGCATCCCATGGGCAAGGGAGCGAGCCCTGCCTGGCACCCCACAGCCAAATGGGATGTGGGATGCCCTTTGGAAAGGGCTGGCTGGGGTGCAGAGGCAGCAGGGAGGTGCCCGGTGCCAGCCTTGCTGCCAGGGTGCTATCTGGGAGCGCACACCGTGCCAGCTAGATTCACATGGCACAGCATGGCATGGCACAGCAGTGCTGTGGGCCTTGGGGGCCACACGGCATGGCTTGGGGGCTGAGCTGCACCCCCAGACGGCATGGCTTGTGGTTTTAGCCTCTGTGCTCAGCCTGCACACTTGGTACGGGGCTCCAACCGCCTGCTTTAGCCTGCACACTCAGTCTGCACACTTGGCTGGCCTCCATGCTCCACGTCGCGCCCACCTGCTCACTCAGCCTGCACGTTTCACCTCCACCCTCGATGCAGAGGGCCTGCTGCTCGCTCAGCCTGCAGGCTCGGTCTGCACGCTCAGCTGGGCTTGGCCTCTTGGCATGGCCTGGCAGCTTGCTTGGCCTGCACGCTTCACCTCTGCGCTGGGCCTGCATGCTTCGCACAGAGGGGAGACCGCGCGCTCAGGCCTTGTGCTTGCTCTGCCCGCGCGCTTAGCATGGAGGCCAGTCCGCTCGCTCAGCCTGGGGGCCTGCATGCTTGGCATGGGGGCCTGTCCGTTCGTTGGGTCCAGGGGCCTGCACGCTTGCTGGGCCTGGGGGCCTGCTTGCTGGGCCTGCACACTTGGCCTGGGGGCCTGCCTGTTCGTTGGCTCTGGGGGCTTGCCTGCTCGCTGGGCCTGCATGCTTGGCCTAGGGGCCTGCATGCTCGGCATGGGGGCCTGCTTGCCTGTTCTTTGGGTCTGGGGGCCTGCATGCTTGCTGGGCCTGGGGGCCCACTCACTGGGCCTGCACGCTTGGCCTGGGGGCCTGCACGCTCGGCATGGAGGCTTGCTGTTTGTTGGGTCCAGGGTGTGCACGCTTGCTGGGCCTGGGGGCCTGCTTGCGGGGCCTGCACGCTCGGCCTGGGGGCTTGCACACTCGGCCTGGGGGCCTGCACGCTTGGCATGGGGGCCTGCCCCTTCGTTGGGCCCGGGGTCCTGCCTGCTGGCTGGGTCTGCAAGCTTGGCCCAGGAGCCTGCATTTTCGCTCGGCCTGCCCGC